ACGCAGAGGCCTGTCAGTGTCTGTTGTATTTCATTACTGCTTAAACCACTACTAAGTGCTGAAACAGAAACAAAACAACGTTCAACGTTTTCCGTCATCTGACAAGTAGCAAGTCTACTCCACTTTCTTCACCAAAAACGTTGTTTTTTAATTCACCAAAAACAGTTCTATAATCTGGAACGTTTTCTACGTTAAGCTCCAGTTAGCCATCTTATCTCACTGTGCAAGAGGCAATTGCGTCGTGTGTCACAGGCAAAAGGTCAAAGGTGACCGGAGGGCTAAAAACCCCAACACAAAACAAAATAATTTTAGTACATATTATGTGTCAGAAGAGGGCTTACGAAATAATACCAAAAAAAAATAAAATAAAATAAATAAAAAATTGACCAAAAGGGCACTTGGGGAAAAGGAGCAAAAGGGGCAGGTGCTCAAGCCCTCCTAGCCCCCAAGTCCCCTTTTGGTCAATTTATTATTGACCAAAAGGGCAGTAAAAATTAAATGTTCCCACTCCCAGATCAAAAAACACACATCCATATTTGCCCTGAACCCTCCTGGATATGCATGAAATGGTTTGTTCCTGCTTGGAGGGCTTGAGAGTGACAGCAGTCAGTGAAAGACAAGAACAACTGTGGCAGTTACTATGCTGCTAAGAAAAATAATAAAGTCAAGTTTTCAAAAATGAAAAATAGAGAATGGGAGAGAGAGAAAAGGGCAAGACTGTCAATTTATAACCAAGTTTTTCTCCGAGAGGAGAGTAGACTGTATGAGATTACCAACCATTTAGCATAGTTAGCGTAGTTACAGACTACTGTTTTCCTCCATTTCACTAGCATTTAATGAATTAAGGAAAAAAACTACCAACATATTCATATATTTAACTTGTCCCTTGAACCTTTTACCACTTAACAACAGGTAAGTCAGTCAGCAACAGCTCTAACCCACATCCCTCCTGACCCATCCTCTCCTAAGTGAAATTAAAGCTGCAGTATGTAACTTTTATAAAAAAATATATTTTTTCCAGATATTTGTTAAAACTGTTATGTTGTGACAGTATGGTATGAGTTGTAATCTGTGAAAAATCAATTTCTTCTGCCTTCTCCCAGTGCTAGAAACAACCAGTCAGTGGCAGGAGAGTTTTAGTGCTGTCAATCACAATCTCATGTGGCTCATCCTTTCTCTCTCTCGATTTGTGTCGTGCTGCAGCTAGCACAGCCTGTTGTGAATGCTCAGTCTAGTTAGCATAGCTACCAGCGATGGCAGACAAATTATGTTCCTGTAACAATAAGTTGTTTCTCCACCATTAGCACATTTAGCAGTGAGTGAATGTAGTTGATTGACAGTGCTAAGAACATCCTCCTGGTTCTGATTGGTTGTTTTGGTCAGAATGGTGCATTACTTTAGCTAGCAATTGTAGTTCAGGGAGGAGATTGATTGTTTTCACAGATTATCTGTCTCATAACAAACTGCTACAACATCATGACAGCTTTAACAAATATGGAGAAAACATGTTTTTTATTAAAGTTACATACTGCAGCTTGAATAAAATGCATCTACATGGCATTTTTTGAGAAGTCTGGATTGCTTTGTGTATATTTTGTATGTTGCCTATCACTGTTGCTCATGGGGAGATATTTAAGTAATTTAAAATTAATAGTAAAAATTTAAGCAACCTACTTGCATACTGTATGTAGACTGTATGCATACTGAATTTTACTCTTGCACGTAAAATTCATGAGCAGTAAATACTGTACTAGTTATCAGTATTGGACCAAAGAAATCGAGGCAGTTGCAAGCCTTTGAAATTGTGATGCTTTTGATGGGCAAGATGTACTCAAGAAATTGTAACAGCAGCTGTGTGGGGGGCGGGGGGGGGTCCCAATTTAATTTTTGTCAGTGGACCCAAGATTTATAGCAGCAGCCGTGCTTTTCGTCTCTCTTTATTTACTAAAAACCTTTGCAATAAAAGCAGCAACAGCATTTCAAGTAACTTTTTAAACATGTAAAATCAAGCAGTCAACACATTTATGTACGCTAACACAGCTAACAGGTTGTAGTGTCAACATAGCAGAGTGACCATTTATTGTATCTCTGCATTACATTCAGCAGCAGTTATTACTGTCTGGAAAATAACAATGTTCATCACTGATATGAAATTTAACATCATTTGCCAGAGATCATGTTCTGAGCAATCATTACTTCAGTACCCTCTATCTCGGTCTGATTCCAAATATGACCATATTGCCACTCAAATGCAAAATCTGAACAGAACTGGAATAAGTAAATCCCATCAGCATCATTTAGCTGCCCAGTTTAAGTTATTTTTGAGCACATTTTTATAAGCTTTATGGTACTCAATTTAATATATTGTAGTTATAGATTAATACATGTTAATAATTAATACATTTAGCCACACAGAAGGCTTGACAGTTCTAATATGGAGAGTACGCTAGCCTCATGCTGTTTAGCTTTATTAATGCTAGTAGCTGCTTCTAATTTCTCTTCTACATAGAACTTAACAACAGATGTCCAGAATTGCTGAACTATTCCTTGTTGCTGGTTACTGTGAACAGTTTTGGGATGATGTTTTGAAACTGATGGTTGAACTTCATTTTGATTCACTCATACACTGCATTTACCTAAAAAGGTTGTTCAGCTCTAATTTAAATACAAATTTCAATCCAAGATGGCAAAGTGCAAACCTGCAGCTATCTGTCAGTTATGGAGGTTGAACAATATTCCAGAGTGTTTTGACTTTGAGTGAGGCATCACTTTAAAGTGCTTAGCTTCTCACTTCCTGTTAGCTTTTCTTTTCTCCCAACCCGCCTGTGACTACTCAGGCTTCTCTAATTGGTTCAGTGACCCATCTAATTGGCAGTCTCTGACTGTAACAGTATGAATGACATATCCTAAGGCGATGGCATTCCCTTTTGCATAGAGTCAATGCAAAGGATATGACATCCGAGCCTGACATATAACAAAGAACAAGCAGATTCAATGCTGGGCTCCATTTCAGGGGTCCCTTGTTTGAGGGGAGCCATGTGTGAATTTGGACAAAGAAGGTTAGCCTTTACCTGTTGCCACAAGACAGGACTGTATTTACAGAATGACTTATAGGCTCCTAAACAATTCTTTATCTTGTCCTTTAGAATGATCAGCTGTGCTGTTTAGAAGACCGATCATCTTAAAGGACAGCAGGTTCAAGCTACCATGAGAAAAACCCATCTGTCAACCACATTTGTCTTTGAGGAAGACAAATTTATTCAATATTTATGAAATCCTAGGTGTTCGATAAAAGCGGCCCCTTGAAATGTGGCACGGACATACTTTACCTTTTAATACCACAGCCCCTCTTTTTTTGGCCCCAGAGGCTGCATCCTGCATGTTAAACAGTTATGGACCTTTCCTTTTCTTCCTTTTCCTCCCAATCCTTCCATCCTTTACCTATTCCATCTTGTTCAGTAGAATCAACTTCAGGTGAGGAGTGGTCATCCTGGAGTGTGTGTTCTGCCACCTGCGGGGAAGGCTGGCAGAGTCGCACTCGTTTCTGTGTGTCCTCCTCCTACAGCACCCATTGTAGCGGGCCACTGCGAGAGCAGAGACCTTGCAACACCTCAGCAATTTGTCCAGGTAAGCCTCTCCCTTACCCCCACCAGATCCCTCCCAACCCCCAAAGTCACCTGCACCCATCTCCTCTCAGCGCTCAGTCCTCTCCCTGACCATGTATTACCCATAGAAGATCCTCTAGATACCACTCTATTAGCCACTCTATCAGCAGATCATGTTTCAAAGTGTTCTCAGGCTCTCATGGAAACAGACAGCAGTGGGAGGTCCTAGAAGCAATAGTCTGGATGTTCTCCATTAAACCAAACCCACAGTGGAGTAACAGATGGGTCACCTGTTATTGTGATGTTTCTTAGTTTCAATTTGTAAAATGGATGGTCTGTACATCTAACTTCTAAGTTACACAATAGCTGCTCTGATTGCAGTTCACGGCACATGGGATGAGTGGTCACCTTGGAGTTTGTGTTCATCCACCTGTGGCCGAGGTTACAGGGCCCGAACACGAACTTGTTCCCCCCCGCAGTTTGAGGGAAAACCCTGTGATGGACCAGAGAAGCAGACCAAATTCTGCAACATAGCCGTCTGTCCAGGTAAGCATGACCCATCAACCAATGACCCGATAATGATAATGTAATGTAGACATCCTCATAGATTACAGTCAAGCAAACCTTCTCAGTTTGCTTAGCTGTGAATAATGTCCCAGCTTATAAACATCATGGTTGGTCACACTCTTTGTCCTCGCTGTTGCTGTGGCCCTGCCGGTTCTCAGTGGATGGTGTCTGGAATGAGTGGTCCAGCTGGAGCTCCTGCTCCACTACATGTTCCAATGGGACGATGCAGAGAACCAGGGAATGCAACGGCCCCTCTTATGGGGGCTCGGAGTGCAGGGGAGAGTGGCTGGAGACGGTTGACTGTTTCTTGCGGGATTGTCCAGGTATGATCATTTGTTGCAGAATGTGTCTTTCACTCTGCAGTTAACATACAGACTTTTCCAATTAAAAATAAGTTTTAGCCTTCTGATGGTTTGTATTTTGTTTTTAAACTCAATCTATGAGAGGAGCAGTGTTATGTAAAATCAACTTTTTTGAGCCCTACATGTTATTCTCTCATCAAAAATATGCCTGGAGTTTTGCCTTGATTCTTTTATGAATATTTGAGAAGTCCTTTAATTTCCCATGGCAACTGTTCTGCTATGCAAAACGGCTGTGTGGATCTAACACTGCCTTTGAGATGCAGCTCCTCCTTGGAGCTGCTTTTTCCAAGCTTCTGCCTCACAGTGCATGCCTCCCCACGATGCCCCACTCAGCTCCTTCAGACTAGCCAGCACCAATTAGCAAACACTTTGTGGAACTGCACATCTGCTGAGCTCATTACAAACACTCTGAAAAGTAGCAATGCAGTGTAAGGTTAATAGAGGAATGAAGTTTTGCTGACTTGCTTGAAGTGGAGTTTCAGCAAAGAGCAGGCATGTTTAAAAAGACAGAGGCTTAAAAAACCTGTGAAATAGGCCTGGGGTTTACAGCCAATAGGATCCTCAGAAGCAGATGTTAGCTTTGAAGGCATTAAATTACAAAGCCAAATTTTCTTTGTCATATGTATATATAGTCAGATAGTTATGTGATTGTGTTGCAAAATTCCATTATTTGTCTGGAAAATACATAATTCTGCCCCTTTAAGTTAATTTAATTGAATTGTTACTCTGGAATTTACTGTAGTAAACAACATTTCATGTTGTGTTGATTGTTAGTGGATGGAAAGTGGCAGCCTTGGTCCTTGTGGTCAGGCTGCTCAAAAACCTGTGGAGGGGGGATGCAGCAGAGGAACAGGGTTTGTTATGGGCCCTTTTTCGAAGGACAGGATTGTCCTGGAGAGAGACAACAAATCCGTCACTGCAATGAAAAGAGATGCCCAGGTGACTGAATAGAAACATTCCTATGTGATATGTGCATGTATGTTTTCTCACGTTAGTGTGACTGACACAGTTTATTTATCTTTCTGTTGCAAACAGCACCTCATGAGATATGTGATGAGGACAATTTCTCTAAGGTTGTGTGGAAGATGACTCCTGCCGGGGATACAGCAGCAGTACAATGTGATTCCAATGCCATAGGTGAGCTTCCATCTTCCATGCATTCACACAAGGTTCCATTTAGAGAAACTGCATGACAAAGTCCTCAGTGCTCAGCTAAACTTCTGTGTCTCCTCCACACAGGGGTTATCCTGCGTCGCTGCTCTTTGGATGAGGAGGGCATTGCCTACTGGGAAAATCCCACCTATATGAAATGCATTTCCAATGACTATCGCAATATACAAACCTTAGTAAGCAGTAAATCTGTTTTCATTTGACTTGTTTAAAAAAATAAAGCTTTCACAGATCACTAACTGTGTTTTAAACAACACATTGAAATGGTCCCTTTGTTTCTTTTCCACAGATGTGCATACATTTTAAATTGTTAAGAAATATCTGTTTCATGTAGTTCATCCAGTTCTGATTTGGTGTTTTAATTCTTAATCTACAGGAGAGTGAGGGCAGTGCAGCCATGATAAAAATCTGTGAATTAGGCCTTGGGTTTACAGCCAATAGGATCCCCAGAAGCAGATGTTAGCTTTAATGCAATTAGCATCAAATGATTAAGACCACAGGTGTCAAATTCCAGTCCTGCCACTGCCTTGCAACTTTTAGATGTTCCTCTGCTGCACCACACCTGAATAGAATAATTAGGTCATTAGCAAGACTCTGGAGAACTTATCTACACAAGGAGGAAGTAATTAAGTCATTTCATTCCAGTGTTTTGTACCTGTGGCACATCCAAAAACTGCAGGACAGTGGCCCTTGAGGACTGGAGTTTGACACCCCTGGATTAGACGAATCGTCTAATCCAGGGGTGTCAAACTCCACACTCCACACTCTCATGGTGCTCACAAATTATTTGAAAGTTCTTTCTCAGAGATTTATTTTTCAACCAAGTACCCAAAACTTCTCTTTATTTTACTATGTACTTATCAGACTAATATGGCAACTCTAGAACTACTTCCTTTTTTAATTCAAAGTAAGAGTTTCAAACAGAGATACAACAGGATGGTAACTTAAAGCACGCATGTTTATATCTGGGCTTCATCTTACCAACTTACACTTACTTCAGTAGATGAAGTCACATTCTCACAGGTGTCACTGACAATATGGTAGCATTTAATGACAATATTTTGTTGTGCAATATTTCATTGCTTGATAAGGGGTGGGTTTTAATAACTTTGTACTTCTACCCACTCCTTTGAACGTTTATTGTTTATGGCATTGCTGTAATTTTTTTGTAACTTGACACGTTCAATAAACTTCAAAAATAAAATAAAAAACTCCTATGTTTTACAAATCACTAACTGTAGAGGTTATGTGAGATGCCCCTGAAAGAAATAACAGATAAACTAACAGAAACTTTCTCCATCAGACTCGGGAACACTTGTCCAAAGCACAGCGTGGCCTTGTGGGAGATGGAGTTTCAGAAGTGATGAACAAGCTGAGGATGACATCTGATGATGGAACAAGCTACAGCGGTGATCTGTTGGCTATCCTGGACGTACTGAAGAACATGACAGAGATCTTCAGGAGGGCGTACTACAGCCCCACGAGTGCAGACATGAGGGTAATTTCAAGGTGTTCTCACATTTCACTTCTGGATGTAGAAATGCTTAGAGTTAGAATTAAATGAGAAACATGTTTAGTTATTTGGGGTTCTTTTATCTTGTGTTTTAGTTCCGTTTCTGAGTATACATCTCATGTATGCAGGGGGCTAGTCCCAGGGGTGATATAAATATTGTGGAAACTGAGTATTTCTGTTTGAATTCTGCAAGATGTTAGAGGTAAGGGCCATTTACTGCCTGAGGTTTTCAACCTTAGGAGACGTGGGATTTTGACTATTAATTGAGAATGTAGCCATTTCTATTATGCCAATTAAACATTCACAAATGGCAAATCTAAAAGCACCAACAGTCAATATTTTGCTTTTCTGTACTTTATAATTCAATTCAGTTAAAAAAACTATTAACTATTCTTGTAACTTATATCCACCAAGTATTCATTCATGACTATCTTGGAACAACTCTGTAGCCTCAATTTGAAGACACTGTTGCTGTATGTCAGCTTCATGACTGCTATGACATGCTAACAACTCATTATCTAGGCAGCAGAGATGATAATCCACACTAACTTTTTCTGACACCATCAGTTGTTGAGGAGCTCTGCTAATCCACCTCATTTGCTTTTCCTGATCTTTTTTAAATTTATGTCTCGTTTCAGTTTGTCTTGTATCAGTCTGCCAAGCAAGATTTGATTCAGTATAGCATGAAGATAAAAAACTAAAAAAAAGCTAATAGGTTTTCCTGTCTTTAGGTACGCTATAATCACCAAAGTAGCCTACAACAAATCTGATAGGATTTGATGCATGTTGTAAAGTACAAAAAGAAAATACAAACACACTTCTCATGGGGACAAAGTGGCTAAAGAATTATATATTTTGACCAGCTTAAGGTTGGTCCACATTAATTAGTATGTCTTTTTGTTTCAGGATTGTGTACTGTAGGAATATAATTGGACATTGTTGAAGGTAGTATTATTATCTTTTGGAATGCCAAGCAGGACCAGATAGTGGGGCATAAACCTTAGTCATACTTCAAAAATACAACCATATCAACCTGAGCGATTGAAAAACATTTCATTTTTGTTTCGTAGAACTTTGTGCAGACAGTGAGCAATCTGCTGATGGAAGAGAACCGGGACAGATGGGAAGAAGCACAACTGGTGAGAACCTCCCTCTCTCAAACAGTTCTGCTTTGTTTGTAATTTCCTCCCTCGTTGAACTCTGTGTTCAGTGATGACATCCTGAAGCTGATGAGTGAAACAATGTCAGAACAGCCCACCTGTGTCTTTTCAGACAGACAGTTGTGAGGAGAAAGGACAGACGAGAAGATAGAAATAGCTTTAGCTAATGAGGAACTGACTCAAGGCAAACGCCCACTCTCCCATCTGTTGCATCCATCAGTATACAGGTGGCTGTGCCAGGATTGTCACCATGCAGGTGGAGGAGAAGCACTTAATAAACCAGCTAGGCTTCTTAAACCATTTCATAAGCCAGTTTTTTATTTTTCTAAAGCAAAAGTCGACCAAAAAATTCAGCATAAACTATCATTTGTTTAAGCTCAGTTTAAACTCAAGACGTTTTACAACACTTGTATAAATCTTATTTTGTTTTTGTTTTTTTTTTTTTGCAGAATATATATGTTTAGATATATATATATATATATATATATATATATATATATATATATATATATATATATATATATATATATATATATATATATATATTTTAACATATGTTTATTAGTTATTTTTCCATTTTAATAAAGACAAACAAACAAAAAAATAGGGAGACAGAACAAACATTTTCTACACAACAACATTAACATTACAATACACCGGCTCAAAACAAACAAAAAAAAAATAAAAAAATAAATAATAATTAAATAAATGAAGTAATAAAATAAAGCAGCCACATTAATGCAATATATTATGTAAGGCTACGTGAAAAAATAGCAGAAATATCAAGACCAGTATGCAGTATAAAGGGATCCCAAATATTATGAAACATATAATCTCTATTGCGTAATTTACTGGTTAAAAAGTCCAATGACACATATTCAAGGACAGTCCGTTGCCATTGTGTTGTGGATGGGACCTTATCTGTTATCCAGTTCAAGAGGACACATTTTCTAGCGCAGAATGTAAGCATCCTGTACAGATGTTTTTCACAATTCTTCTTAAGGCTGTTTGTCACTCCCAGTAACAGATACATTGGATTACACTCAGTGCTAATGGAGAAGATCTTGTCCAACTCTTTCTTTATACTAAACCAGAATTGTTGAATTTTCCTACAAGACCAAAGACAGTGAGTCAGATTACCCACCTCTATTTTACATTTGGGGCAAAGCGGAGAAAGGTTTGGATTAAATCGATGACGCAGATGTGGAGATATATGGGCCCGATGTAAAATTTTAAGTTGAATAGCTTTAATCTTATTACAAACACTTAATAAGTGTTTAAGTGTTGTAATTTCCTCCCTCGTTGAACTCTGTGTTCAACAAGCTTGCGTGTGGAAAATCAAGCTTGGGAAGCTTGCGTTTTCCCAAGCTTCATCCCAAGCCTCGTTGCTGATCTCTATGGCTAGCTCTTTTTCCCATGTCTCCTTTAAGGCAGTCAATTTAGTAACCCCTAATTCTTTTAATAAACTATAACAGGTCTTAATAGAACTTGTAATTTTTGGTTTAAATAATTGATTTTCACAATCAGAGACATTTTGGTTGCTGAGAATTGTTGTGTTCTTCAAAATGTAGTCCCTCACCTGTAAATACCGAAAGAAATCATGTCTGTGAACATTATATTTGGTAAATAACTGATCAAAGAACATCAAGTTTGGCCCGTCCATTAAATCAGAAAGAACAGATATGCCTTTTGTTGCCCATACTTGAAAGCCAGAGTCGTAAATCCCAGG